GCTCCTGATTATGCTCAAAATTCCATTTTGCACCGCCTTAGAGGGGCATGAAGTGTTTGTTCCAAAATTCAATAAACCATAATAAGCCAAATTTTTCTCGACTGATTTTGATAATTGGGTGACTAAAGTAAATAGTGGAATAGGTATGGAAGTTATGTAAGAAGGCAGGTGAATATCGTGAAATTTTGAAAAATGGCTATTTTGGGTTGTAATTTTAACATCAATTTTGACCAAACTCTAGCCTTAGGCACCTCTCTGTGCAATACCTTGAGGACAAAGTTACATGTACGAACTGAAAGCTCTATTATAGTAGAGTTCATGGTCAAATTCATTTGGCAGCACAAGTTACCAGTGGGGTCTTATCACACTTTCAAAGTGCCCCCTGGAAGGCTGGATTTTTGGTGCTAAAAGGGCAAAAAATGAGACCCCCCCTGTAACTCAAAAACTAAAAGTCAGAGAAGTGAGCCAAAGTGGCTTTTGAAATATCTCATCACACCCAACTTCTGTGCCAAGTTTCAGCCAAATCGGTTGACCACAACTTTTGGCCCCTTGAACACTTTCTCAGACAATGACACTTAAGGTGAAAAATGTCAAAGCAGAAGACGAGGGGTGTCGTTAGGCACTTGTCAGAATTTAGCAGAGGGGAGGGGGGTGGAAACAGAGGGAGGGTCACAACTTTTTGAGACTCAGAAAAGGGAGGGGCCATGAAGAATGAGCCGTGAAAAGGGGGAGGATCATGCAAATATATGCCCGTGATCATGCAGAGGTTCACCCACTAAGGAAAACAGAAGTTCTTTATTTGGTAAAAAAAACCTGGGAGAAATAGGAGAGTCGAGTGATCAGCTGTCAGCATTAAAAAGAACAGATTAGAAATATATTTTGAGTTTTCATAATACTAACTTACCCTAGTGTATTGAAAGAACTAGATTTTATCATTTATACAAAGGTGGGAGGGTCATGATATTTTAGGCCAAGCTTAAGGGGAGGGTTAGCAAATTTCACTCCCTTTGCAGGGATGGGTCACCTCATTTGCCACCCCAAATTTAAAATTCCCACCCCCCTCCCCCCAGCTAATTTCTGACAAGTCCCTTAACTACACAGATGACAAAACGGCAAAAAATATTCGCCGAAACATGGTGTTGTCAACAAGCGTATGGAAAATCTCATCTGCAATCTGTTGAAAAAATGGTTTTTCGTGTTGGATTCGAAAAAGATACAACCAAAGATGCTGACAACATTATATTTCATAATATACTGAAATGTGCTTTAAACATTTTCGTCTCTATCGCCTTTTATACACTTAAATATATCTTGCCTGAAGTATACTGCCTCTGTTTGTATCTAACGAAAGCGAAACACATTCACGGAAGCCTGAACTTTGCCTACAGATACATGAGCAGCTAGCCTGTTGATTCAACTTAAAAGCATTCGAGTCCCTGCTCATCGTGGAATCAGTGCAATGGTAAATTTGAACTGTCTAACCTTCGGACGTACACGCAAATTCATACCCCCACCGTGGTACAAGAGAGGGGGAGGGGGTGGATGGAACCCCTCCTCGAAGCCGGAGTTTTTGATATGTTGCCGTATTTTGAAACGATTTTACCTTTAGTGGAAAGCCTTTGATCTTCTTAACAAGATGAGGTATATTTTACTGGTGGTGACGCTGCTGGAGGCCTGTGACGTCACCAACAATGGTCGCCATCTTGGATTTTACCAAGAATTAGAAATCAAGTTAAAATCGCGAGAAATGGTAATTTTTTGTGCTTTGCATGAAAAATAACACATAAATAAGCACTTTGCATGATTTTAGCCACAAAATTTACTTTTATTGTTGAAAGAAGTTGAAAAAACAGTATTTTCACCCAAAATTGGCTTGACCACCTGCTACTTATGACGTCATATCTCATAACCATAGCAACTGATCATCACTAAACTTGTCTCAAAATGAGATGAGGGTGAGGGATGAATGAACAGCTACTGAAAACGTCAGGAACTGATGTTTTATCCTCAGAAAAATCTTATTGGGGGGCGCATGCACCCTTCCTTGTACGTCCGAGGGTTAATAAACAGTTGAAAATGGCGATGCGTTGAAGCTGTATGACGCTGTTCACTGCCAGACAGTGTTTCAGCGAAAATGGATCGGAAATTAATAGCGGATCATGAAGTTTGAAATCAGCATTATGTATATATTATGTACTATGAAATCTGCCAACATCACCGGTTTTATCTCTTTCAGAGTTTAGACTTTCAGAGTTTAGATCCTTAGCTGCTAAGGGAATTGGGAATTTCCACGACAAGCGCCCGCAATTCTACAATGCTCGCGGTGTTTAAGTCACTATTATTCTTCTAATTTACATTATAACATAACAAAAGTAAATCGCGCGCTTTGATTGGTCAGTTAGCCACTACCATTTACCCTTTACCCGTGGGTGCACGCCAAGAAACTGAACTAGCGCGGCAAAAATTTAGGAAAATTCAACAAATCTCCTCTCCTGACGGTAAAATGCACACATGAAATGCACAGATGAAAAGTGGAAGTTGAAGAAAATACTAAGCTGTCGTTTTGAAGGAAAAAAGGACAAAAGATCAAACGAAAAATTTGCCCTGGATGAATTATTCACTGTTTTCCTCGCGGCTAGAATCGGCTGAAGGAAAATCGAGCGAGCGAAGATTTAAGGTACATTTTGTGTGTTTTTTATAGAAGAGGAAGTCTGTTTTGAAATGTAAATTTATCAATTAGCATTGTGTTATTGACTTTTTGGTCAAGCTGATGCTAAATTCAAGCAAATATTTTAGGAAACACGCTCAAATTCGAGACAGCTTTGTTGTGAAGTTTTCACCGCATCGATTAAAAATTTTAGTTGAGTTTAAACAGGCACATTACGCTGGAATAAGCGAATTTCATTTTAGTAGAGAAGCATTTGGGTTTTCAAATAAATTTTTCAAAAAATAACTTCTGTGTGTATTATTTTGTTCCTCAGTGTTCATTCATAACAGTTGTTCAGAGAATGGTCGAAAAACAACAGCTTCAGCGCCGGCTGTGAATTTCAGTTGCAACTGTGACTTTCATAGCTGGATTTCCCCAGACAGATTTCGATACAAAGCTAGTTAATTTCTTTTTAAAATTAGTGTTACCTGTTATTCTTAAGGAATTACAGTCAAATTTTCTCATTTCTACTTTACGTTTATTTCAAAAATTGTCGCATAAATAAGCTTGATAATTATTTCATTTATTTAGATTTAGCTTATTTTTTAGAGTCTTTTTAGTTGGTGCTTATGGTTGTAGCTATAGTTTTCCCTCACAGTTTTTACCCTAATACTAAAAGTAAGTAGACAGATGCCATCCTGAATAACAGCGAAAAACGTTTTGAAATTTACCTGAACACGGAGAACGGTTGATTCAGCGAAAGAAAAACTCAAAGGGGCGGGCAGATGGCAGCATACATGAACTCGGACCGATGACTCAACCGAAGGCAAATGGAAAATAATGTTTATCTCTTTTGATTATGTTATAAAAGAAATGGTAAACGTTGCAGCTGTGCAACGATGGAGTTATGGATGCACTTGGGAGGTTTGCGAAGCACTCAAGAAGCTAGAGTCGCACTCGGCTGACTCTTACGCTTCTTTTGTGCTTAGCAACCTCCCGCGTGCATCCATAACTCCATGGTTGCACACGCTGCACATTTACCATTTCTTAATTTCGAAACTGGAACTATTCGAGTTTCGAATAGCAAAAGGGATGGAAAATATATAAATAAACGGGACCTTAGAAAAAGTAGACTGCAAAACAGTCGTTATTTTTCTCAAAATCGGTTTAGTGTATCGTAAGAGTAGCGAAAGAGCCACACACGCGCGAACTGCGCGAGTGTCACACGCCTCACTCCAGACCTTTTGTTTGACTGTGCGCGCGTCATGAATACGCAAAAAATACGGACTATTTTGCAGTCTAAGGAAAAAAGCGACTCGTAGTTCGTACATGTATAGTATGTCAGTAAGGGCAGATGTCTGAACTGTCTGGGTTTCTTTACAGCAAAGGTAATCAAAAGTCACTTGAAACTACACGTGAAAACTGACGCCCAAAAGGTACATTGTGATATCGTGTCAGAGTTTACAGGAAACTCAAGCGGTTTGCAACCAAGTCGGATAATCGAAATGTATTTATACCTAATTTCCAGGCAAGTGGTGAAAGGTAAGTTGACACAGATTTTAAAGATCAATTTATCACTGCTGCTATGCGAATCTTGCCTTATCGATGCCATGTGGTATTTTTGTTCAAACCGTCGAGTCAAAAAAATTAATAATTAATTGAAAACAATAGTGGAACAACAGAATTCTGTATTTTACTGGTCAAAATGGTCAAAAGTGTAGGAATTGATTCTGCGGGAACAAATCTTTCATGGTCTTTCTTCAGTTTGAAAAATTGTTCCTTAAAGTAAATTCTGTCTGGTCCAAACAAGAAAGCGTCGAAGAAGAAATAGCGGATATCCTTACCGTTCACAAATGACAACTCATGTTCGTCCGCTGTCAACATTTTCTCTCTGCATTGTTGACCTGATTCACTAAAAAAATAAGCTTTCTGTTAAACGAATTCCTCGCTCAGCTCGGGTTTCTGTCATGAAGAGACGAAGGTGACAAAACCTATCTAATTGCACCGGAAGTCAGATATGTTACTTGTAACCAATCGGTGCAGGGTTCCGAAGAATCTTTTGTTTTTCGACCAATCAGACAAAAGTCCAGATTCGGGACTACGAGCGGACGATGCGTAAAGTAAATGTATCAGGTGTCCTTTCCTCCCTCGTGTCCCAAGCAAAAGAGAAGAAGGACCGCGCGCCTGATCGCAGGTTAGGGTGTTATAGAAAACAAGAACTCAAAAATGAGCTGCCATTTAGACATTTATTGCAATGCAAGACTAATCCCAACGTCTATATATATTTTAAATTTTTCTTCGGAGCCTTCTTATTAAATTCCGCAGCTACTGCTGTCTTACGTTGATCCTCTTCTTAAGATGCTTTGCGATCGTGCGTCCCCTTCCTCTTGTGACGTCTTGCTTTCTCCACCTTTGCATCTCCCTTAGCCTGGCCTAAATCGTTATCACCACTTCCCACCGGTTGTATAGGTACTCGCGTCCCTTTGAGTTTTATCTTAATCTGGTTTACCCCGTCTAAATTTAGGTTGGGGCTATTCAGCGAGGCAGGAAGACTAACACTCCATGTGGTAATGGCGGCGATTCCGTCGTAGTATTCTTGATATTTGCTGCTTACTTTTCCAGACTGCGTTACCTCGAAGGTGTTATCTGGTTTTATCTTGTAAGAGAACTCCGTTATTCGGGGAGGGGCAAGGAACTCATAACGTCTTCCCCTGAACACATCTGTCATCATTCCGGTAAAGGAAATCCATGCCGTGATAGCTTTCTTAGCTCCAGGAGAGCCATTTCGGTCAAATTGGGCACCTTCAAAATATATCTCAATCTCGTCCACGTGGACCCGTTCGTGTCCCTTGAAGATGTCTGGGTCGTTCTCATCAAGCTTGAATAGAAAGACTTTAGCGCGCCTGAGCTCTGAGATGGGGCATTTGAGTGTGTTCAGAGCCAACTGGTTCACTCCACCAGCAGACCTCCTCTCGTTAGGTTGCCTCTTCTGACCTCTCAGCGACCGCTTGCCAACACCATTGCACTCCTGGCTATCGTCCGTAAGGATTATGGTTGCTTCAAACTCCTGAGGAATAAAAGGTGCAAAATTTTCAACAGCGTTGATAACAGCGCTTAGGCCCTGATTGACTTTCTCGTGTAAAGCGTACAAGTCATCTGACATGGTAGGCATCACGAGACATTCCGACAACCAGTTGTAGAAATACGAATCGCAGAAGGACATTAGCTTTTCAACCATTATGTTACGAAGTCGTTGTTTTTGTAGCGCCAATTCTATTAGCAGTTCTCCATTGACCGTTCTAAGAGATAGGGCATTGTCTCGAGATGTTTTTATCTTCGCCTGTGCTTCATGTTGTTCATTCTTAAGAGTCTTTAGCTTCGTCAACGTTGCTAAAAGCTCTTGAACAGTGATGGATTTTTCGTGATATCCCTTCCCCCAGATTGCCACTGTCTTAAGCGCTGCTAAGTAATCTGATGCTCCTGATATCCCGCTAGCTGTTCCAACTCCAAGAAATGCATCTGCCTCTGCAGCAAAGACATCCCACTCTTTTACCATCACTGCCAAACTCTGGTCTTTTTTCTCAGGCATAGATTTAGAATAGTAATCTGAAATTTCAGTGCCGGCATAGGGTAAGACGTCATAATGAAGGTCCGTAAACGTATTTGCAGCTTCGGTTATCTTGGAAATAGAGTCCATAATAATGCTTATCTTGAAAAGAGTCTTCTGAATTTTACTTATGTCGGTAGCTAAAGAACCCAGTTCAATTGTGAAACCCATAAACGCGCCAGCCCCACCAGCAAATATCGTTGTAATTCCCCCAAGCACAGAGAACACTGCATTAGCAATCTGCTGGTTTGAGTACGCTCGCACCCCTGCCTCGAAAGTAGCTTTAGCAGTATCTAAGGCTGTTTTTGCATCTTCAAGTTTGTTCTTCATTGCTTGACAATCTGCTTTTGCTGCCTCAAGTTCTGTTTCAAGAGCTGCAACGTCCAGGTCGTTCTTCCTCACGATGGTTGTCATCAGTTCCGTCATGGAATCTGTGGCTTCAATCCTTGCTGCAAAATCTTGGGATATTCTCTCGAACCTTTCGTATTTTTGTATTGCCATTTTAGCGTCATCCTTTATGAGGATCAGAATCTTTTCATGTGCTTTCAGCGACAGGTAAGGTACTCTGTAATATCCGCGAGCACGAAGGGAAAGATCCTCCATCAAATTTTTTGCATTCAGTCTTAACGCATTTACAGAGTTTGTATCTAATTGTTCCTTCTTAGCCGTTCGAATTTCATCTAAAACATACTCGATTAATGTAACAGGAAGGCTTCCTTTGAGCAACTTGCCCTCCTTTGCAAACGGCGTTCCCTGAGCCATGATCTTAGCACAATTTAGAATCATGCCGGTACAGTTCAGCATCAAGAGATTTCTTTGGACTTTGTTTAGATTTTAAAGCAGCTTGTATTGAAATATCTCTTGCGTTGTAGTTTCCAGAGCATGAGAAAGGTGCTGATGCTTTAGATGTATAGATATTAAAAACAGTCCCTTTCACATTTCCTGGCCATGGATTACTGGCTGAATAACGGTTATCACACAAGAGTTTGTTGTTTTCAACTTTAACAACTGCACGGCGACCTGTTGTTTCGGTAGCATGCGACGCGTTATTCCACAGCACAATTTGTGCTCCGTTTTCTTTCAGAATCTCATTGGAAAAGAAGGCAACTTTATCTACACCACTTGGTAGAGTTAGAACCCCAGATATTGTTATTTGGTGCGCATAAACAACGAGTTCAGTGGTAGTTTCTCCTATATATGGCAACAAATCAGATGTCTTGATATTCAGGAATCGAATCTCAACATGAGTCTGGAGGCTTGTGACACCCTTAAGTTCATCATCATCTACAAACTGACACTGACTGTAGCAGTTGTTATCTAGGCATTGGTCACAATTTCTTCCATCTGAGTCGAGCTGATACCCGGGGGGGCATACACACATGCTTGTACCAGGGCCTGTATAAACACACTCGGCCTCACCAAGGCAACCGCCGTTACTAATCTCACAGTTGTTGATGGGAAAACAGTTCTCGCCGTGCTTCTCGTACCCTTCCACGCATGTGCAAGGCTCATCTCCACAGAAAATGGCATCTGCAAATTTGGAAAAAAAAAAAGAAACAATAATGTTATACAACAATCTAAATTTGGAGTTGTATTTTTATAGTTTCCTATAATATACTGTGATCATTGCAATCGCCATTTCCGATAGGAATGGCCTGTTTTTAATTTTAGATAACTATACGAGCAGTTGTTATAGGTATAACGTTGAGACCGTAGTTATTATTAAGTGCGATTTTTGCCTACCGATCTATTCTGGTGGCTAAGGCAGGGTTGCAAAAACCCCACTTCGTAGTCAATGGCAGACAGTTTTTCTGAACTTTGTGAACTAAATTGTAACATGTCGCAAAATCGTTGAATAGTAAGTATTTTTGCCAAACAACCTCTCTTCTTTTCCATTAAAAATGTATGCATAATCAAGTAAGGTGTTACATGGAAGCGGTGCAAAACTACTTGGCACAAATTCTTGAGCGAAATTGCCGTGCAGTCTTGCATTTCTCTATATTTTGGGCTTTGAGCAGATAATACAGATTGAGACTCTGGGTTCGATAACAACACCGGCACAAGAAATTTGCTTCCTAGCTCAGTTTCAGGTGTGTGCACCAGCTTAGATAAGGCTAGTTATATGAGACGGTGTGAAACTTGCGTCGTCATAACATCTAGAGGAAAATGATTGAAACACAGTTACAGAAACCGGGTGCTTCCTCGAGTTGCAGAAACTGTTGTAAGTCGGCTGTTGTGTTCTGGTTTGGGTATTGTTGCGAGATTCTTTTCAAACCTTTTACGTTACGTCCTTCGGTGATTGCACTTGTCTGCAACACCACGAAACTACCCTCAAAACGTACCTGCAAAATGAAATGTCGACGCTGCGTCCGAGCATCCTGTTTCGATCACCAACTCTTCGTTATTCGCCGGACTAGCTCCGCCTCTTTGCGGCTTCACGCACTTGCCGCCACTATAACCAAGAGTCGTTCCATCATAGGTCAAAGTTGCCGCTCCATTTCCTGGACAGTCTGTTAGAGTCAGTGCCTAGTGCAAAGAGAAAATAGGGACCTTAAGATCATTTTGATGACTACCGCGAAAGTAAAATTGTACACAATGTACATTACGATGCTAATGAGTTGATAATGCTTCCTGCGCCGCAGGTTTTTGCTTGAACAACAAACGAGGCATGACGGCCATTATACGAGGATCCATGCGGATTGAAAATTCAAAACATTATCTTCGGTACCAGACCCACAACCTGTTCTTGTGCAATGGGTAAAATAATTACGTAAATGTACATATGTATGGTTGAAAAGTCGCATAAAATTCAATTTGAGAGCAAATAGAGCGGTTTTCACTTGACTGTCGTAAAACCAAAACCAAAGTAAATACACTAGCCAACCAAAGGGCGTAGTAAAACCAAAACCAAAACCAAAGCCAATCCCTTTCGACAGTCAAGTGAAAACCGCTCTAATGTATTTAAATCGCAACATATCATACCGCGCCAACTGGGTCGGGATTTGCGACGCATTTTCCGCTTGCTACGTGAATCAGAAAAGATGAAAACTTTTCTTTGTAGAAGACTTGTTCGGCTGAGGTGCACGAGGCCTCGAACACCAGTTTGCCTGCATTCACACCAACACATTTATTGCTTGAATGTTTTAGGTATCCTTGGATCCCTGAACAAAAAAAAGTAAAATAAGATATTTAATCGCTTCTTTTTGTGCACTGTTATGCAGGTATCGGGTTGCACTGCATCGAAGGCCGCTCGTGTTTGAGAAGGTGCTGCGAGACAAAATATACATAAATAGTTTCCTTCCTGCAATAATGTTGGTTATTGTCTGGGCGAGTAATTCAATCATGGACTCCACTTCATTTCATTTCAATGCACCTCACATCCCTTTACTCTAGAGCCATTGCCTTATACTTCACCACTATAACACTTCACTTCACTTCACCTAACTTCACATCTCTTCACTACTTCATTTCACTTCACTTAACCTCACTTCACTTCACCTTACTTCCCTTTCCTTCCCTTCAATTCAATTTAATTTCTTTTAACTTAGTTTACTTTAATTAATTTGTTAAACTTTCGCTTTGTTTCAAACCACTGCATAAAATTAAACTTTTTAACTACACCTACAAGTCCATGGCCTGAAATTCATCCGATTGTTTCGAGTCGTTTTCTCCTCTCAACAACGTCTGAATCGACCGGCCGTTAATGCCGTCCAGTGACGTCACTCACTACCCGAAAACCGGGTAGTGATTTTGATTGGTTGATTGTCTGAACATTCGCATAATTATGTATAATTATGAAAAATTTTAGCGGGATTGTCGCTTGATGTTCAGCGGATCGCATCCCTGGCATTCTGTCGTTTAGTTCACAGCAAAATTGCCCCTGTCTTCGAAACTGAAATGCTAAATTGAACTGCGAATGAAGAATCATTGCAGAGGAGCGGTAGGTTTTTCATTTGGAGCTGCTTTGTGGTTTTGGTGGCTGGTGATTTTGTTTACGCGAAGTTTTCTGAGATCAATGTTATAATTCGAACTTCTTGCTATTTTTACTGTCACGTGTAATGATTCTGTTAGCTTTTCTTTCTTGTCTCCTTGTTTTTTTCTTCGTTAAGGACCAAATAGCTTCTTTTCAATTAAAGCAAATCATTGTGTTTTTGAACTAAGTGTTCGTGTGTGTGTTTAATTCATTGCGTGATTGCGACCGCGTTTGATTATAGAATTTAGTACAATCGGTTCAGAGTTGTACTGCATGCAGTTGATGGTTTGAACGTTAAACATGAATTACGATCGAAAAAAAATAAAGCAGTTCTGTATCATGCAGACATTTCCAAACGATATTTCTCCGTTTGCCACTTGAAAATCGTGCACTGGACGGCATTAACGGCCGGTCGATTCAGACGTTACTGAGGGAGTAATAACGGCTCGAAGTAATCGGATGAAGTTCAGGCTAACAAGTCCCTCCTTCGCCCTAATTGTACTCACACCTTTGATCACTGCCCCAGACGACCACCTGGGGCCTATTATTTTCCCATTTTGTTTCGTTTGATGGCGTATCATTCTCTTTACTTCGTCTTGCTCCTCGTATCGATATATCTATGTCTACATACATGCATTTGCGTTCAAGCCGGGTTTTTAATGTCTCCCTAGATTATATCTCTGCAGGTCTATCTGTTGGTCTATTTTTCTGATCGACTCTCTGTCTGCCTGTCTAATTTTGTCCCTTTTATAATTTTATTCATTCACTTACTCTTTAATGCAAAGCTGGAGTATGCCTCTCCACACGCTGCCCTTTCAACTAACTGGGTGTCATCATCGGGGTTCAGCTCTCCCGCTTCAGGTACCAGACACTTACTGGTAAATACGTCTTGTAAAGAGTTGACGTTCGAGAACTGAAAACTTGACGAAACAAATTGCAAGATACAGACAAATTATCAAACCCCTTAAAAATCAGTCATCATTCTAGTTCAGAACATTAAAAGTCCCTTGTTTCTTGAACAAAATTGTCAAACAAGGCCCTTATAACCGTAGCATCATAAACGATTTTTTTTAAAAGAGTCGGAGAACATATATATTAAAAGGGAAACCCTGGATGAAAAGACATTTAATTAATGAGCAATCAAAGCGATTTTAATAGAACTGAATTTACTGAATTGTAATGAAGTTATTCGAAGCACATTCACCACAGTACTTACGGAGGACACTGTCCAAGCGACTCAGCAACTATACAGTCTGTACCTTGCTTGATACTCCCATCATTTGACCAGCACATAAGAGCAGTTTGACTTTTGCAGTCAGTTTTGAGAACCAGCCTTTGGTTAATATAATGAGCGCACTTTCCACTTTTGTGCATTAGGTAACCGTAACCTTTAAGAAAATAAATAATGTTTGCGCCGCGCAGTTCATGCTCTTAAACAGAAATAAACTCTCGAAAAAAATCAGGTTCTATAAGTTAAAGTTAGCATCATCCTGGTCCGTAAACCAGAACGGAAATGGTTTCCTAGTTGCACTCTTCAGCAGACTCTGATGGGGAAGGAACGCGTAATGAAGCCTTAAGAACGTCGGCGTGGCGCCTGGGAGGCTACACTAAAGCCTCACCTACGAAGATTTTTAACTCAAGAACCCACAATCATAAGGTCAGCTAGAGCTGCATACAACCCTGGATAACAATAGTTGGGGCACTTGGCCGATTTTCCCCTTTGCTCTCATTATCAACCATGCAAGGGATGAGGGGACCACACTGTGCATGCCCAAAAAATAAAGGAAGGGCCACAAGTTTTTCTTCACCGAGGTTGTAATTTCCCTCGGGTATTAGCCTAGACCAACTTGTACTCTTACGCCTACTTCTCAACAGGGGTTTCTTTCATTAATCTAAAAGATTCTGCAAGAATTTCTTCCCCCACTAATATGGATTTTCCATATTATTGAGTGTGGCGAGCAGTCAGTGTACCTGTGCATGCGACAGTGATTATGATGGGACTGACAGGGCTTAGCTTTATGTTCAAGGAGTTTCAAGGTGGTTTGATCCTCTTTGGTAATTATCCAGGTACGCTCAGTCACCACCTAGCTTCGTATCCCAGGGATACAAACCTCATTTCGAGACCATATATTTGCAAGCTAACTGTCCTGCTGCATATTTTATGCATCTGACCTTAATGTGTTTTTTTTTAGCTCGGTTGGTTTTCAGGAATTCTAAAGGCCTTATTTAGACACATTTTTAGACAGTTTTTCTTGGAGGATCAACGCAGGAAATCCCGAGCAGGACATCGGACCATTTTACCAACCCGGATTGCCAATCAGAATGCCTGAACGCAGGATTCCTTTCTCTTGCTCGGTTGTTTGTCTTGAACTGCGCTGTTTACATACAAAAGAGTAGTGTTCTGTGGAGGAGAATAATTTCCACACATACGTCACTCACCGTCACTGACAAAGTCTTTAGGACTTGGCAGGTCACCGGTAGGACAACATAAAAAACCATCAACGGTATAGCTTGATATTTGGGAGAGTCTTTGACAAGTCGCAGCGTCCACAAATGTGTCTCCTACCACGAGAAGAGCTTTTGTTAAACTTCCGCCAGTGACGCCCGCAACACTCTGACCACCGGGGCTGGAGGGGCAAACTTCAGCTGCTGTACAGAGCCTTCTGCCTGAATAATCGCAGTGATTTGCGCTCGTGTCGATACTTGTGGCTTGCTGAGGAGAAGAATCACGAACAAACCAGGACATGCCTGAAGCTAGAAATTCAAATTCACATTTTCTTCTTTAGTAATGACCCAGCTAAAAGGCAAGCAATTTCTTTTGTCATGGCGCAATACGCTTTCCTCACATAAAGATATTTTCATTTTCACACAGAGAATGCATAAACCTACAAAAAGGAAGTTTACGAAAGGAAAACTCTATTTTTAAAAGGTGTTTTTGTGTTAAAAATATTTTCACCAATTGTAGGAGTTGCAAACAATGGCGAAGAAAAGTTTACAAGTTTCCATGTTCTTCACATGGGATGTCTGTTACTTAGGCGCCGTCCACACGTGTCTAGATATTTTTAAATCCGCAACTTAAACTCAAAAGGAGAAAAGTGCTTATTTCAGTGAACCTGCTTGCAAAATACGGTATAATAGTTTATGCATTATGTTCGACACATGAAAAGTTCCGCGTCTGAATCAAAGCCGTTCTAAAATTGCTTTTAAGTCAAAATTCCCAGCCGGGCTAGCCGGAAACAACGGCTTAGCCTTTCCAAATTGAAGTTAGGCGTTTGATCCAGCCATAAGTAAACGAGGCGTGACTGGTATAGTTTAGAATAAGCCCCCTACCCTCTTGCCTAGTCAGGGGAAAAGGAGTAAAATGACATTTATGCAGGCTCGTACTCATCCCAATTCGCGCTATAGAAGTCAACGGAAGAGGTTTGACGGGTGACGTCACATTGAACTCGCCGCGGACGACAGGAAACGGGGTTGTACGTTTTCGATCAATTTAATTTTCTCCGTTGACACATATGCGTTATTGACCAAGCTTGTTCCATCAATATGGCTAGGTATTGGCCAATTTCTTCAGCGTTTTTTATGAACCGAGATGAGAACTAGGTCGATAAAAAGTAATAATAAAAGAAGAGCGAGGCCAATATCCAAAAGAGTAATTTTTTTTCCTTCCAGTAACAATGGGGTTTTTGCCGCTCGCGAATTCAACCATATGGCAAATAACCATGTATTACCGTATCCAAATGTTTAAGGAACCGAGATTTGCTGACCTAACCGCAGATCAGTTAGTTGTCGGTTGGAACTACAGGAGCTTTCAGCTGGGCTTCTCAAGGTTGACGAGCTTTGGTGCCCCACTAAGATTGTTCAGGTTGTCTTCTGTCTTCAGATTTGGCTTGGAGTTCTTTTTCTTCAATATCACAAATCAATATCATAAATCATCTGTTTTTGACAGGATTATTGGGTTCAAACTGTTTACAATGATATAATATTTTTTATCGTTTTGCACTTACATACTAAACGAAAACGGCTTGAGCTTGCCTGGCACACCGCTTGTGAACTGCTCAGAGCTCTCAACTTGGGATCGTAGCCTGAGTGTATAGCTATACAGTATTGACCGTTACTGAAGAAAATCTGTCCATCGGGTTGCACGGAGACATGGATAAGGTTTTCAAAGTGATTCCAATCGCCCGGCCATCTACCACAGGGAGACTGTTGGAACAATAGCAGTAAAGATTATTAAGGGCCCTTCTTAAGCTTCTTATGCTTCCTCAAGCGAATGTTCGCTCTTTCTAGGTACTGGAATTTGCAATACGTTTACATAAACTGATATCATGGCCATCCTTATTTTTCTAGGTAAGCTCGTTTGAAAGTTTGGTCCTTGCACAGGAAAAAAAACTTGTTATGGACCGCAAATTGACGAATCACAGGGCGAAAACAGACTTGGCCATATACAAATGGTAAATATCCATGTATACCGATAGGTAACTCTATGAATCGACCGTGAACGAGATAGTGTGGTACTACACTTCTATTTACTAACTCCCCTCCTAAATCAGTGTACGCTCCAAGAGCTTGTTACGATGGCCAGAAATATTGCGAGCTACGCGCTGGAGCCAATCAAACACACGAAAGTTGCTATTCACTGATGTGGTGATGCGGTAAATACTGAGAATTTAGAACAATCTTAAAATGATGGTCACAAAGTTACTGCATTCATTAAGTGCTCGGCCTGACGTACTCTGCTATAGAGGATCGTATTAAACATTGTGCAGGCTTGAGAAGGTCAGGTCTTTGTTATGACTTGCTTCCCGAGAGTCAAATATTAAATCTTACCTTGAAGACATCAATGTTGTTAAACCAATGAAGACATCCTCCCGAAACACCGACTAGCCCGTTTATGGCCAATTTCACCGTCGGACAACTTGAGGTGGCCAGTTGTGCTACATTATCAGAGCACGATCTGAAACGCCCTCTCCAGCTAGCTTTGCATGTCCATTCAGCGTACCTACTCAATGTACCCAATCTGATGCATTTCTTAGTATCTTTGTGTTGTAGTACCCCAGTGACAACACCTAAACAGAGTTTTCAATTAGCAAACGCTCAATAGTTGCTAGGAAAAGGGGGCATATTTTGCAGATTTGGCCTTTGATGAACTGTCTTTAACTAAAAAAAGCATTACGGTTAAAGTAGAACCTCAACATGAAGAAGGGCCAAGGGAGTGGCAAACACGGGCAAACTACTTTCGCAATAAAGAGGTTTCGTTATATGGAAGTTTTTTTTCCCGCATATTTTACTATTACTTACTAGGCGTCCGTTATATAAAGCACTTTGTTATATAGAAGTTTTACTATACATGGATTTTGAACACTTGGAATTTGCCTTATTACTTACTTGCATACTGTTTTCCCTGAGTAGGACCATTTTATCAATCGTATTTCAAAATATATGTTATTAGGTAATGATTGCTAATAATTGGAAATGCGAATTTAAAAAAATGTTTCGCGCTTTGTGTATTGTGTGAGGCACCCTTGGAATGATCTTTTTGCGCTTATCTTTAAAGGGAGGATTCTTTCTTCATAGTACAATAGTTGACCTAACATACCACTCTCAAAATCTGTAAATTCAGTGAAACTGATTTCTGTAAGCAACAACACGCCCAGGAAAGCCAACAAGACTTTCATCCTATCAATTTTAAGTCACCAACGCGCCCAGGGCACGGCTGCAATAAAGTAAAACGATAAGAATCTCACTGAAATACCCAAACAATGTTCAAAGAATCAATGATAACAAAACAAAAACAACAAAAACAGCGATAGTAATAACAAAAAATAACAATACTCTTACTACTACCACCACCACCACCATGCAGCCAAAAAATGACTGGAAAATAAAATAACTAACTCGCTATTAATCGACTGCCTCGAATGAAACATCATCACTGCTTGGATTGCCACACATAAAATGGAATCTGATTTTACTTTAGTTCTGTAAAATTCAGCGGAAGAAACCAACTCAAGGGCATTTTGAAAGCCCGTATACCGTTAATCTGTTATGATTATCTGGATAAATGGGATAATATTACAAAATATATTAAAAAAATGATTTTCGTGGACTGAAATTTCGACTCCGTTGAACATATATCGCCCTCCTTTGATACAAAACTGAAGACACCACATTTGCAGAACAAAATTGAAATAAATCAATCGTTAATAATCGTTTCAGCAACACTGATCTATAAGGTATATTTACACAAAAAATAATTTTGAGGAAAATTCCGTATTTTTGAACTCAAGTCCCAGTTTTGTCTCTATTTTGTTCAGTCGTAGCTGGCAGAAATATTGGAGGTAGAAACTAATTGGCTAATTCGAATTTAAAGCAACTTACCGTTTATTTATTTTTTTTCCTGCTTTGTGTTTTAGGTGTTAAATGGGTAAAAGGCTGAGAATTCAAAAACAAGCGATGACTAGACAAGCGCGTATGGGTACTTACGAAAGTAAAAAGCTGATAATTCAACAGATGAGGCGAGAAGTCACACAGTGAAAACCAGGTTGTACCTGTCTTCTTAGTACTGAGACTTCAATTGTCAGTCACATATCAGCTCTGTGGCCTTGGTGTCAACCTTGTACTGTTCACTTTTGCTAACATGATCAAATATTTAGAAGGATCGTTTTCGAGAGACATTTTAAAAGAAAAATAAACAACGGTAAAAACGTAACAAAAGATACAAATAAACAAACTTCTTTACCGTTACTGTAGAGCGTGCAAACGGAAGAAAGTGACCATTAGAAAAAGGTTTATGAGCATATGCAAGCTAAGCAAATAACTGAACAAAGCTGCTATAATTCAAACCAAGGCTTTTAAAACTATAAAACACGCTCTAAATCATTTAGAAACGCTTATTTAAGTTTGTCTTCGACCTGCGACCATTGCAAACCGACCAGATTTGCTAGACATGTATATTTGTAGCCCACAATAAAACCTCCACTTTCATATGCATTGGCCGTTTTTACATGGAATAGGAACTTTACTCCAACGACGCAACGGCAATGAGAATGTCATAAAACACTAAGCAAAACAACAACTTCACGCATTTAAGACAAAGCAAACTCACTTTTTAAGCGACGTCCTCGTTACGTTGCCGTCGCGTCGTTGGATCGTTTCTTGCTATTAGCATTGCACGTTACCAGCGGCATTTTAGAGGAGCAGCGATTGTAAAACCCAGTTTGAAATCGACTCTCTGAATTAAATGCCGTTCTTTTCCTTTGCTCAATTAAGTTCTCGTAAGCGACCACTCAACCAACACTTGAATAAAAATTGAAATTTATTTCTTGATCAAAAATAGGATCTTTCAGACATAAACAGATACCACTGCAAAATCACTAGTAATAAACGACATTATTTTTAATGGCAAAGCTTGCTGCGAAGAGCTGTCCTTACCGACCACTCTCTGAGTACGTTTATCATGTGGTCACTTCCAAAAAAAAAAACAAACAAACAAACAAAACAAAAACAGGAAAAAATAGAAAAAAAAATTGTATCTAGTCAAAGACCAGCTCTACCTGCCACCACTTAAATTAATTCTATCATACCCGAAATGGACTCTAAACGAGGGCTTTGAGTGTATGTACAGTGCGTCGTCATTCTGCATCATCTACTTTTGAGAAGCATCTGGACGCGCTGAAAGTTTAACTAGGTTTTGACCATACCACATTTGGCCTGTTAGAACTGAGAAGTGGCTATACATTAAGTCTCTAAATATCCTAAATAACAGGAAAGGTACAGGAGGTGATGAAATTCCCTCTAAAGTGCTCAGATGTGTTGATTGATACACTGAATTAGGAAAGCACATGTACAGATAGTCCCCTTTTTCGTCCTTGCTTGCTCAGCAAAATTATCGTTCGTTCAGCACATAAATTTTACTACTTATTCTTATAGCGGTAAAAGCAAGCAAAAGGCGTTCACTGCCGTTTCATTGCATGTATCGTGTAACGTTCAGGAAACTGAATGATACCTGCTTTTGATTTTGGAGGATGACCATCTCCAGGAAGAAACGTGAAGTTTTGCAGCAACAACGAGGAAAACAAGAACAGCTTAACCTTAGCTAATGATTCACCAGCGCAAACTCGACGCCCAGCTCCAAAAGGATAGAGATTACATTCGTTGGTGATCAGCTTGCCTTCTGCATCAATATGGCGGTATGGGTTAAAAACGGTGGGATCATCCCAGCATTTTGGATCCAGATGGACGGACTCTGTGTTTGCATAGACGATTGTGCCCTTGGGAACGCGGTAGCTGCCGAGAGTTGTATCGGAGAGGGCTACGTGAGGAATAGCAAGAGGTACCACATTTCCTAATCTCAATGTTTCCAAGATCATCGCCTGAATGAGTGGCAGCTTAGGGCGATCCTCCAAGGAGGGTCTTCGCCCACAAAGGACTTCATCTAACTGGCTTTGAATGTCCTTTTGGTACTTTAGATTGCCAGACAAGAACGCTATGGCAAAGCGTAGTGCAGTGCTTGTGGTCTCAAACCCAGCAATAAACATGTCCTCGATGGTGACGATGAAATAATCCTCTGACAGTAGAGCGGATCTCTCTTCGTCACTCTTGCATTCTGCCTCGAGGTCGTGTCTGGCTCGAAGCAAAGCTGACATGAAATCTTCCACTTGTTGGCCAAGGTGAAAAGTTTCTTTTCTTTCCCTTAGTAATTTGCGAATGACATCGTGAATCTCATAGAAGAGCCTAAGGACCCGATTGCGCGCCTTTATAGGCAAGTGATGCGCTCCCCGAAAAAAGTCTAAGATGGCGGCCACCCTGATATCATCAGCCCTTTCAGTTACCTTAACGTTTAGCTTCAAAAGTTTGTCCATATCTGGGTTTGTGGTGTCAGAGCCGTCTTTAAAAATTATTCCACAAAGTACATCGGCTATACTTCGCTGCAAGTAATCTGCAGGGTCAAAAGGCTTTCCGTCATACTGTTCCATAAAGTGCACCAGTTTTTCGGCCTGAGCCAAGACTTTTTGTTCGACCAGAGAAGTGTTTGAGACGTACTGGCGTAAGGCTGTGATGAATAATTTTCGGTAAAACCTCCAGGCAGGCCCATAGTTACCAAAAACTATATCTTTCCCACCTACAATTAGGTTGATAAAATCAAATTACCAGCAGGTATAAGTAAAAACGTGAACTGTGTAACAATAAATAATAACCTTAGTGAAAATGCATAGATATTTTTGGAAGTTGGTGATGATGATGATGAGAGAATAATTACCTCATTTACTCAAGGGGTTTAAGGCCTGGGTCAAAGGTGTGTTCGGAGCATATGAATGATTGGCAATATCTCTCGCTAGGAGACCAAGAACAAAATGAATTTTTCCCCAAAAGTAAATCTTGAGGGTTTTTTTGTGCCTTAACATTTAATTGTGGTCACGTGACCTGTGACGAGACCAAAATTGAAAATGAAGGAAACTGGTGGATTGGTAGCGAATTTACTTTGTTTGATAAACAAATTGGTATTTCTGAAACAGGATAAAGAAACCTAACTTTCTACGTTTGGAATGAATGTACGCGAAGTTTGCAATAAAAGTTTTAAACAATTTAAGATTTAATTAGGCAGTTAAAAAGATGTTTTCCCCCATAATTTTTTATTCAAGCGCAATAGACGTTCATTCCAAACGTGAAGTGTTAGAAATATTTAATTTGAATTAGAAAAATGTTATTGCTCGATTTACTTTGTTAAGCCGGCTACCAATTGTTCAATAATTTACAATTTTCAGCACAAAGGTCGCGTGACATATCACGTGACTTATTAATACAATATTTATACCTTTAAATGTTAAGTACATGACTTGTTTATGTGTGCCAAATTTTGATTCAGCGCCATCTTCTATGCCAAAGTTATGGCCAATAAACCATTTTCCAAAGGAAAACCCCTTAGTCCCAGGCCTTAAACTACGTGAGTTAGTCCAACAAAGTCACAACTCATGATCAGTTACTTACCTAAGGTTACCGTATAGAAGGTATAGAAATCCGATCTTCCAGCGTAATCACCAGATTTAGTTACAAGCACTTCCTTGACAGCCTCAGAACTTGAAGCCATAATCAAATTGTAGCTTCCAATTTTCAGTGAGAAAGTATCCCCGTAGAATTTCTTAAGACTGCAGAGTGAAGCATAATAGAGTCAAATTGGGTGCAAAATGAATTCTACTTCTGCCAGTGCTTCTTATCCTACCATAAATGTTGCCGTTACTACATGTACTACCACTACCATGAAAGCGATCATGATTATGATCATAATAATTATAATGATACTGATGATGATGATGATGATGATGATGATGATGATGATGATGATGGTGGTGATGGTGATGATGATGATGATGATGCTGATGCTGCTGCTGCTGCTGCTGCTGCTGATGATGATGATGATGGACTAAAGATCATGGCATGGCTGCCCATCCGGAAAAGACAAAATGCATGATAATTGGTACTCGACAAAGGCTTTCCCGCTTCGAAGAATGTGCCCTTTCGCTGTATTTGGATGGTCACGGGCAGTTGGAGCAAACTCAAGAGGAACGTCTCTTGGGACTAGATATCGACCCCTCCCTATCTTGGTCATCCCACGTAGCTAATCTCAGGAAGAAACTCTTAAAGCGCGTTGCTGTTCTGGCTCGCATTAAAAAAATCCTACCGGTCATCATTTTAGTTAATGCTAGTATTAAACCTGTTCTTGAGTACTGTGTATCCGTCTGGGAAGTTGTAATGCAGGATTATTAAAAAAAAAAGTCATGGATGGATGTGCACCTAGTTACCTCTCTGAGAAAATGTTATCTTTGAAATATTGCAAGTCACATTGCACAAGGTCTCGGTTGCCTTATCGCCTTCCTATTCCACGTAACAATAGCATGATACGAATGTTCTTGCAGTCAAGGTAGCTGCACACAGCTTTGGCAGTTTGTGACTATACAGTACGTCATTTGCCAAATCATGGCAAGAGAAAGGTTAAAGCTCACAAGCTGAAACTTGGCAAGTGAAAAATACACTGATGAAAAATTTTGAATGATAGGTAAAATTTGACGTTTTCGTAGTTTCCATGGCAACACGAACGATTGAATACAACCTTAAAATTTTACTTTTGCTCTGCTTACATAAAATTCGCTGATTAGATTTCCCTATAAACTTGCAGACAGCTTACTATAATTAATCATCACAATTTGAAACTTATTTGACCAAATTCTTACAGACGGGTTTTTAGATAATCAGTAATATAATTGTACTGTAATTATTAAATGTGTCACAAAAATTCGTCTGTTCAACTTCCATTTTAAAGTGCTCATTATTTAAAATACGATAAAAGTAAAAATTCTGCCTAATATCAAAATTTTAATGGGAAGATTTTGACAAATTGTCTTCTATGTACTACCCTGGTCCCAGAGGTTTTTCTTGATTTTTCTTCGCGAAAGAGATCAACAGCAAGCCGCGAAGCGGCGACAACGAGTCGCGTAACCGACGAGGAGAGAGAGAAAAACCTCTGGTTACCTTGGCCTCGAATCTCACTTTCATGCAGACGACAGCTGTCAAACGCGTCAAATTGCTAATAAAAAGAGTGACCAATGGCAACTTAGCAAACACGTGCTTATCGGCCGCTATTTTTTTAAGTGGGGGTAGACCTGGGAAAATTATGTTATGAACAAACCATCTCCACTTGGGTGGTAAAGAGTGATTTGTTAATCGGGGTCAAGCTAAAGCATGTGTTAACGATGGGCGACAAGAGTCCAGGAATAAGAAGACCACTTTATAAAGAAACCGACATTGTTCCAAACGAATGCTGCAGGATTTGCAGAATTTATTTGGGTATAATAACAAGGATTTTTCACAAACATTGTCATCTGTTCTGTCGGCAGTGTGCCAGCGGGAAGTTGTAAAGTTTGCAAGAGTCTATCCATCGCGCTTATTTGTTATTACATTGTTTACTTCTGCGGGGCGCGCCGTTCGCGTCGATTCGCGGGCATTCCCCTGAAAATAGTAATATTAATATGTATTCTGGCAATCTGGCTCGCATTTTGGTTTGGTGGCTCCATTTCCTTTTTTTGTGGAACAGCGACGCTAGGAAGAGTCATGCAGCACAACAAACCCTTAAGGTTCAGAATGTACTTTCAGAGGTTTTTGTTGGCCCAATAGACCTATTCGGCTAACTCAATGTACCCAATTCAAACCCTTTGGGAATAAAACGTTTTGTTTCAGGAATTTCCATATCATTTAAATGTGAATGCCACATTATAATGCAAATGCAATACACAAAGAATCTTATCCCCGGGAGATTTGAATTGGGTACAACATTGAGCGTCGGTTAGATCTTTTTTGGGCGTCGCAGGAAAATCAAGCTGCACCGAAAATGATTACGCACTTGTACAAAGTTGTATGTTTTTTTTCCTACAAGGAAACTTTCATTCCGTATTCGGAGATTTTTTATTTTGCTGCCCTAAACAAGTTAGTTTATTTAATGGAATGACAGTATTGTAACAGAAAATATACTTTCCATGTCCGGTTGATAACATGGTGAACACATCCTTTCGACTCAACGCAGCGAACAAAGCTTTCTTTTGTTGCTCAGTGAGACTGGGGAAAGCGCTCATTAAGTACCGAGGACAAAATTTCTTCGAATATTCTTTCAGGAACAACATCCATGGCGTGCCTCTACGTGCCTTGGTCCCGTGCAAATGTTATTGCGAGTGCAGCATACAAACAATTTTCTTCCCTAGTAGAGAGAGGCAAAATGAGGTGTGAAAATCCTCAGCGTCCCCTCGGTAGTTACAATTAAACGAGCCAATCAAATTGGTTTGCATGTTTGAAAAAATATCAACCAATCAACGCCCGAGGGTCAGATCCTGACCCTGTCGTCTGCATGGAAGTGAGATTCGAGGTCAAGGTAACCAGAGGTTTTTCTGTCTCTCCTCGTCGCTTTCGCGACTCGTTGTCGCCGCTTCGCGGTTTGCTCTTGATCTCTTTCGCGAAGAAAAATCAAGAAAAACCTCTGGGACCAGGGTATCTATGTACCATTGCTTTTTCGCAATGTTTGTTGGTCTAATTTAAAACACGCGCCGTCATGCGAGTTACCGCTGACCGCCCGCAAAACTGTATCCAGCCACCTTACACTGTGGACTAATGTCAGTGACAATGATTTAGTCCGCTCTTCGACCTCATGTAAAGAAGTTCAAAATAAATTACTCTGATTCAGCTATGTGTAAATTCACGCCTAACAGCTTTAAAATTGGCAGCATTTTTTTAGCTTTTTAAATGACTTATATGTTAATAATTATTATCTTCAAGTACTTTAGCATTTTGATCGAGTAAATCCTCTCCTGAGAGCTGTAGAATGGACAGAACGTTTTATTTTCTGTGTAGCTTGCTAGTTAAGTTGTTTGATAGCTTAGTATTTTAGTATTTGACGATTTTAGTATTTTGGAATGTTAGTAGTTTCATAGTGCCATAATCCGGAACAATACAGTAGAACTGTAATTATGCACCCTATTGAAATAAAGTGTCATTCATTCATTCATGATCGACTAATTATGTCCACAACGATGGTGATGAAAATGGTGATGTTAATGGTCATACTGATGACGATATTGATGATGGGGATGATGATGATGATGATGATTTTGACGATGATGATGATCGGGTAATTATGTTCGCAACGATGATGATGATGATGATGATGATAGTAATAGTGATAAGGATAACTTTTTCGCTATGTCGAAAATCCTCCTTAAGTCGTTATGACGGCATGGCCAGCGACTTAAACGTTTAAGATAACATGAAATTTAGGAGTGACAAATTCACCCCAGGACAGAACTTTAATGACAGATACCCCACCTTTAGCCTCCCCGCAGACGTCCTTTGGGGTTCGTTTGTCACGCATTCATTTCTCCAATGCGTGACAAACGAACCCCAAAGGACGTCTGCGGGGAGGCTACCCCACCTTAGGAACACACTCGAATAGGAGTAGAATAGCTATTCGAGGAAAACCTCGAATAGCAAAACTCGCCTTCGGAAAGGAGGAAAGCCTCGAATAGCGAAACTCGCCCTTCGGACTGTGAGTTGCATT